TAATAATAATAATAATAATAATAACAATAATAATAATAATAGTAATAATAATAACAATAATAATAAATAATAATAATAATAATAATGATAACAATAATAATAATAATAAATAATAATAACAATAATAGTGATAATAATAATAATAATAATAATAATTATTATTATTATTATTATTATAAATATTAATAATAATAATAATAATAATAATAATAATAATAATAATTAGTAATAATAATAAACAGTAACGTAATATTAATATTAAATTTGATTAAATTTAATATTAAATTGATTAAATTCAATATTAATATTAAATTTAACATTAGATTTGCTTTCTTTCATTTTTTCAAAAGTTTTCCAAAAAATAATAAATGAGTAATAATGTAATAATAAAATAATAGTGTAATAATAATAATAGTAGTGAATAATAGGGATATTAATAATAATCAATTCGGGAACGAGGAAGGTGAATTTTGTGATTAATTTCTTGCGATATTGATAATTAAAATTTTCCACCATGCTTATCTACCTTTGTATATATTCAGAAATTAATTTTTCATCAAAAATTTGCCTTCTTTCATTTTTTCAAAACTTGCGTTCAATTTTTATCATTCCAGTTATTCCCCTCAAAAAAATGAATAGCAAAGTTTATTTTCAATTTTGAGATGATGGTAAAGTTTGAGTTACCCCCTTAGTATTAAAAATAAAAGGATGAAATGTGTGGAAAAAGCCGAAAGGCTAAACTGCTTGTAGAGAATATAACATTAACTGTTTTGCGTTATCAAATAATGTTTAGAGGATCATTTATCAATCTCTGTTCCATATGTGAATACAAAACTAAATAACTGATTTTCTTTGCTATTTGTATTAATTTCGTATAAAGTTTTGCTAGATAATGTAATAAAATTTTAATTCCTGTGATTAATTAGTGATACTTATGATGTTCCTCAATGCACACTTTTTCTATCAGCTGGAATTTGCATGTTACATGCAAATTGCATTTACATGCAAGTGCCGTGAGCAAGTTATCTAACAGTAGTATACAAAAATTTGATCTACTCTTTTCGACTTTTTCATTCCTTAGTTAAGCATTATTTTGAAGACATTATTGCAGTTAAACTGAAAGCACTACAGAAGACAAGTGTAACCTGCAATGTAAGTTGCAATAAATTAATAAAGGTAACTGGGAAATATAGAATGCAATTTGTTGATATTATAGATGATAAATTTTTTCTTATGATAGCCTTGAGTTTCCCGAATCAATGTGACCACTATATGTTTGATAGTTGCTAAAATAATTGATTTGTATATGTAAATTTAATCGATATCTAATTGTTATTTAGCTGTTCTTACTCACACTGTTTATTATGAGTAAAAATTAAAATTCATTAGTTAATTGATAATGAAATTGCTACGGAGCAATTATATGTTTTCAGCTTAGCTGTTCTTGTTCATACTGCACTAATACTACCAAAAAAAAATATCACTCAGAATTGATTTAATTCATTTGAAATTAGTCATAAGTTACGCATGGAGAAGACGATAAAGCTTTAAATTTGAATGAGAATCCATTAAACAAATTATAATTCAATTTAATTGGACTTAATGAAAGTGAGTCCAATGTATTTGTACGAGATTGGTCGACAGTTAATTAATTATTAATTAAAATGCACTGGCTTTTGTTCAAATTGTAGATTATTCCATAACTTGCATCAATATCTGTTAGAATTTAAATCAATCCCCTGAAAGTTCACTTTTCAATTGCATTGCTGATGGATGAATAAGGTGATAAGGAAGGATTACTCTGGTATTATCATAAATTATTATGCACAGTTTCCATCTCCCATAAGTTTAGCCTTATTCAAACTAATAATTTCAAAATTTGTATTTTTCCTGTTGAGCTCTAAATAGTGCTAAACTGAAATTCGGAAAATTTTCAAATGTAAATTTACGGAAATGAAAAATTTTATTCCAAATATAGCAAAAAAAACGATTAAAATTTGTTTCTAGTTAGAACGTTTATAAAAAACCTTTGAAATATACTGGCTTACTTGGCCATTTTCAACAAATTCTGTTTTATGATCTAAATAAATGTAACTATTTCAGCATGGGAATACTGTATGTTAAATACATATGACGTGTATTTCTGCGCATTTTTTGCTTTAGCACAGTTATGGCCAAATTTAGAACACATACTGCAGGCTGAATTAAGTAAGTTTTGTGCCAAAGATCTTGGTAAATTTTCTCACATTTTTTGGCCAACCGACTTAGCTTACAAGTATTTGTATGTATGTATGTATGTATGTATGTATCTATCTATCTATACTGATAGAGCAAGCAAAATGATCTTTGGTGCATTTCATGATTCAGAGAGAATTTTTCTTTCAGAATCGATTACATTCTTATTTAAACTACTTTTTTCCTAAATTTCATATTATTCTTATTATACAAATGTTAGTCGTAAGTAGAAATCCGGCCCGTGATTTTTGCCACTTACATCCCGTGACTAATAAATTGACGTCGGATGTCTGGTCAGAGGTGAAATACAAATGTTAAATTATATTTCTAAATATCATAGGAAACAGGTGACCTCACTTCAAAATATATTTTAAACAGCAGTCACTTTTCCATTTTTATCAAAATACGACTCACTCAGAAGTTACAGCATTTTGACTTTAAATTAAGTTCATTGTTATTATCCCACCCTTACCCATGTCTGCCATACGAAGCATTATTCTTCAAGTTTATCAAATGGATCTCTGTAATAAACAGCTTCTGGTAGCTGCCTTCTGGATGGCTATCAGGGTTCTGTAAAATAGCCATACCGTGTGCTCTCATGATTTGGGAAATCCTGTTAAATAATGATTTTAACGAGATTGGCGAAATAGTATTTGTTTTCATGTACTGACTCATGCAAAGATGTAGAAATAAAGGTATATGAATACAAAGAATTTATTAAGTGTAAAGGTGTGTAAATCATCTTTACATATGTTATTGTTTGTTTATTTTTTCTTGTATACAACTAATTGCATATCAATTTGCATTCTAATCTATAAAATCTATACGTGCTGAACGTTGAAGTGGTTTGTCTTGATTGCATATATAATACACTTTTTCCCTTGTGCAATTTTATAATATATTGGACTTCGAGAAATCATAAATGATTTTGTATAAGAATTATTATGTGATGGCTTTTACCCTTGTTATTGTTCTATTTTACAGCAGTTTAGCTATGGTTATGCACGGATTCATATGTAATTCATGATACGCCTAAATGAAGGGATTTAATTTGAAATTCATTTTGACATGTTGTCTAGGTTGTTTTGTTTTGTATATTCAATCAAGATAAAGGATAGTCTTTGAAACTTTTTCGCCGCTGTTTTAGTTTATGTTCTCTGAGCGACAGTACTTATTACTTCCATTTGAAATATTCAAATTTTCATTTTAAAAAATTTAAATGCACATTTCTTTTGCAGGTTTTTGTAAAAAGTCTGGTAATTAAGCTCGGATACGCTGGTATGAAGGCAATGATGGTATGATCGAAAATTCTGGTACCGCTGATCAAACATACGATACTTTGAAGATGAATGGTGTGAGGTATGATAAATTAGAATATCTTTTGTAGAAAATTAAATGAAAAGGGTCGGCAAAATGTTGGCAGTTTATATAAGTCGATCTTTTTTTTTAGATCATATCTGAAGGATTCATCAATTTCCCAGCACCTATTGCGGCTCTCTGTGGTTGACATTATTGCATGCTGAAGTATCATTTGCTAGTGAAATTGATGACATTAGGAGTGGAAATTTATACACAGGATTTTTGTTGAGAGCAGGAGATATATTTGAAAGTGAATATTATAATATTTATCTTCAAATGGAATGGTAAATATTATAATTTCGATAAACGATCAGAAAGTGCCAAAACAATTATGGGTGGTCAGCTTTGTGGCAACTGGTTTTTGATGTGCATTTCACCAAAAATTATGCATGACGTAAGAGCAGCTAGTTTCTGGAAGTAGAATATTGCTTTTAGTTTCTTCTTTAGAATTATAAAATGTAGATGTCAAAAACTGGCCTATAATTGATTGAAGGAACTTTTCTATTTATATACCTTATATTACTTTTTTTAGTGAGCAGTGCTAAAACATCCCTAGCTCATTGGTTAAGGAGGTTTGAATATTTTTATCATTGTCTTATTGAATCGTCAAGAATGAGTCATTCATTTCTATTAAATAAATTCTATTAATTTTGTTTTGGAAATGTAAAATAAGTAGAGGAAATCTCAAATCTAATATGTAATTGACCCATTATAGCTTAGTTTCTAATTTTAAATTCCTTTTTCAAGAAATTTGCCTATTTGATTTTGCTATTACCACACGTGAAATCGGCATTTGATCAGATCTACAATTCAAACTTTATGGGTGACGACTAGGAACTGTAAATGGAATGAGGAAGGGCGATACTGTTGAATGACATTTGCAAGCAGATGAAGTGTGGGTTGGTGTAATTTATGGCAGTATCGTTCATGCAACAGGTATTAATTACTTAATGAATAACCACATATGAACTTCCCTTACTTAACTTCTAGTTTTACTAGATTGAAAATAATACTGTCTGAATATGTGAAGTTTTCTTTTTATGGAAATATTCATATTTATATTACGCAGATTTTTATGGCTAGTTGATTCATATAACATACTGGAATATTGTAAGAGTTTTCAAAATTAAGATTTCATTAAAATTTCAGCAATCACTCATAATTGCTTGGATTTTCAAAATATTCCGCACATTACTTAAATTTCTAGTCTTTTACAGGGTGATATTCAACGTGATTTGACACAGCGTGGGTTGTTACGATGCGTGTTACGATCGTTTTGGTTTACAGTGCCGGACTCCTGAAGCCATTTACGAAGACCACTTCTATCATGCAATTGGTTATATGCGGTCGTTGAATATTTGGGTAATTCAGTGGAGTTTACTGAGACAGTTCAAAGTTTTTGAGCGTGGTTGGACCATTTTGAACCATATTTATACTGATATTGCATTGGAACTTGGGAGAATTTTATTGTGAGAAATGGAGAAAGAAGGTAGACGTTCTAAGGAATAAAGTCAGATAACAGTTCCGAAAATTCGAAAATCTTCAAGAGTGTACTTTGAAGTTTCCACTTACAATAAGTTTTAGAAGCAAGCTCATTATTTTTTAGAAGGATTTTATTTCCTGACATGATGTTTTTAACAATAACTTCTGATCTGGAATATCCGTCTCAGCGAAATCGGAACTGGTCTAATAGGATTGGAGATTATTACAAAGGATTATGAAGAATTAAGCATCCTGAAAACGAATACAATACCCTAAGCATTTCTGGTGAAAAAGTTTCCCCATCTTTTTTGCGCATTGGTGAAAACTGAGCGAAAGGGTCCGCTTATTTTGGGCTTGTAAATTATCATAAGAATAATCCAATGAATTTATTACCAGATAGAGGTAGAGAATTGGTGCGATTTCATAATACAGGTATTTATATATGCATTCCCTCTGTTGACATTCATGTATTTGATAGCATTTCTCGAATTAGGACCTATTCCGGAAGAGATACCATGTCGAGGTTTCTTCACTTAATTAAGAAATACTAAACATATTTACTGTTACAATACTATCTCGGGAAGTTGATTGTTTGATTACTTTCAAAAGTAATCGAAATTGCTTGATTCGTTTGCCAAGCTCATGTTTGCCTGCAGTTTTGTTCTATGGGAAAAAAGTCTAATCGTGACACTGGACTTTGAGACTTGCTTGGAATTCTCTGGAATAAACTGTTAGCGCCTGATTTGTCTTAGGTTTTTTCCGGTTTTTGAAGCTACTCCATGGTCCAAACTTCCAGGAAGATTGTGTAATTTGATTGGAAGATTGGGCTTGAAGATTATTACTATAGCGAGCGACAGTTATTGCTGAGCATTAAAAAAAGTGCAACTCCTGATGTGTTGATAGGTACTACTGAATTTATTGCTAGTTCCTCTTACATCAATTATTCACAATATGATTAAATGATGCAATTAGGAATACATTAAATATATACACGGCAGAATAAATTATTTACCTTTAAAAAGATAAATTACAAAACAATCAGAATCATTATTAGCATAACAAGCAATGTGGAAAGATTACCAGCAATAATAAACAAGTTAAAGGATTATTACAAGTAAATGCAGTGAGTGTCAGGGTTTGCGCTTTGCAAGAATTAGAAAATGCGCTTGCAAGTAAAGGAGAAGTAGCGCCAAATGGAAAATGGAACAGATTCTCGAGGAAGTTTGGATTTACCAGGTGACTTTTCTGCATGACATTGAACAAACAAGTCCTCAAGAATTTCATGGAAATTAAGACTGATCATATATAACATATGTCTAGAGGAGTTTACATATTTTGCATTGGAGCATGAAGGATTCATCACAGGTGAGTGACCAACGAACTTGCGAACTCGCTCAGTGGATATGACGCAAGAGGCAACAAATTACCATACCAAGACTAAAACCTGATACAATTTCAATCAAGCTCGATGGAGAGATAAATAACATTAGGTTTATGCAAAAGTAATGGACATTGTAAATTTATATTGCAATATATTCTCTCTATGGTATAATATCATTTTAAAACACGCTTTTCTGCATTCTTCTACTTATATCATCTGATATTCTACAAGAAGCAACAGCGTCATTGTGAGCGGATTTAATTTTTTTTTTTTTTTAAAGAAAGCTCCAACATTAACGTTGCCAGTGAAGCAATTTGCTATTTCTTATTCCATTTTGACTAATGAATGACATCAGACATATATATAGCAGATATGAGTGACTTTTTTTACTAAAGTTGAAAATCAGCTAAGGGACGAAAATACCGCGCGATATCAGCAATTTCCAGAAGTCACAGCGTCCAGAGGTTGTTAACATACGTACAATGCAGCCATTGTGTGAGGAGACGAGAGACTCAGGGATGAGAAACAAGAAAAGTTATGAAAATTCACATCGACCAAGAGAAGTTACAGAAGAACTGGAGCGTCTATAAAGCTAACGAAAGATGTCCTTTCATTCTCTCATTCTGCACAGTAATAATATCATTTCTACGATTTGTAATGTGCGGTAAAAATTAATCAAGTACAACGATTATCCCTGTGGCAAAGCAAATTTGCACAGAAGGCGAAAGTCATTGTTCGATGTTTTGCAGTCACTCAGCTTTTTGAATCCAGATGAAAGCATTAAATCTTAATATATTTGACAAATCGATGAGGTGCTTTCAGTTCTCACTCATCAATGGAAAGATCTTGATTTCCCTCACAGCACACCCAGACAATCAACATTTCGGAAGATGGACGGATAAAATTACAAGGATTACGATTTTGCTTTATTTACTGGACTTCTCACTAACCAACTACCACTTCTTCAAACATCTCAACAACACTTTGCAATGGAAATGCTTCTACGACGAATGCAGAGAAATACTTCTAACAATTCGTTGAATTCCGAACACGAGTTTCTACACTTAGGAATAGACAAACTTTTTTTTAAGCAAAAATCGCTAACTGTTCAAGCCCTTATTTCATTTAATAAAAATGTTTTAAACTTACCCACATAGGAAATTTCGAAATTTAAGGCTTGAGAGTGCAACTACTTTTGCATCAGCCTATCAAGTAAAAAGAAAGACAAACAATTTTGTGGAGTTTACGATGTAAACGTGACATAACAAAAAATGTAGAAACTTACCTCAGAACTGCAACTATCCCAGAAGGCATAATTTTACCAGACTGGATGAAACGAACTCCCATTATCACTGTAAGACCAGAACTAACGGCTGCAAAACAATCTTAAAAGTACAAAATGTGAATAAATCATGTAATAAGGTATAAAAATAGCTGTTGTACTTGGTGAGAAGCAATATCTAATTACTCATGACTAAACCAGTTGGTAAACTAATGGGTGGATCCCACGGCAATTTATTTCGTCTCGAAGATGCTTCATGTACGTCGTTAAGATCGTCACCACACGTTGAACAATAAAATAGAACCACTAAATTAAAAGGTGGATCTTAACTAATAAAGCTAATGAAGAACTAATGAAGAACTAATAACTAATGAAGAACTATAACAGTTCTTCAGCGAAAGGCTTTTTGTCCAGAAATGTTCATTCTGTAGTCATAGCTATTTAAGTTTCCAGTGCTTCTCTATAACTCCCCCGACCTTACGACTCAAATCACAAAGCGCAATTGAAGCCTGAATAAAACCTGCCTAAAAGCATGGGATTATTATTGAATTGAGCAGCAAAACCTGCAGCACTTCCAAATGCGAGTCCAGCTACCAATGATGTGGTGCTACCTGTAGAGAAATAGAAAAACTCACTTCTTGTTAAAAACAAATTTTCGTCCTCACTGTTTACACTAAACTACACCAAATCCTAAATGAACATAACATAGCAGTCACAAAGATTTGAAATAATTTGTACAATCAGTTACATTTTGCTGATAGCCATATGATATAATAATAATCAAATAGGTATTAAAATGACCCGCTTTGAAGTAACCAACCAAACCACCAGCTACGATAATTCCCGCGTAGATAAGGCCTGCCAAGTCACTCATATCCACACCTGGAATACATGTATTTCATGTTATTCTTCTTCATACAACTCTCATCAAAAGACGAAAGTGATAAATGGAAACGCTCGATGAGATATAAAGAATGAAAGAAAGACGCTACGGTGATGTAAAAACAAACAATAAATCTTAGGTGATCTCAAGGAAGATTTATGAAATAGTATAGCGTGATAGCATTAGGCAAACACTATAAAAGTGAAATTTCGAAGAAATGACAGAAATTGCGAGCACATAATGCAACGATAATTATGTTGACATAAAGTAAAAAATGAAAATACTGCGAAAAGGAGTGGAAAACAAAGGGACTGCTACTTTGACCTGATGACATCCTCACCAGGTTGAAAAAAAATTCCATCAGCTCAAGTACGATATTTCGCATGCAACGAACAGTGCAAATATAGTTCGCATGGCGTGCGTGGAAGATACAGCGATAACAAGACCAAAAGAAAGGCTGGGAATTGTTAAGGAAACGCATCGTTTTACGAACAGTTGTTTCAACTGAATCGCTTGTGTCCTGTTTTAATTCCTTTGACTTTCTTCAAAACTATTAGAATGATCGCTCGAAGTAACTGAGTATTTTATACATACGGATATGAGGAAAATGCAAGCGGCAAACGGCTTTTCTTTTCAAAACTTTTGCATATTCCACATTTTTGAGCGTCAATGTTTCTCTTATTTCGCTATAAAATTTATTTGATCATCTCTCAGGTAAAACACATTGGAAGGCCTGTTAAATCAATACTCATCGTTGCTCTTTACTTCCAACAAGTACCTCGGGAAGCATTTATTACACTCATCCAAATCATCTCTTTCTTTATTGGCTGAAGTGGAGAGATCTAAGCCATTGAATTACATATTTCATATTTATTTATGACCGAAGAAGATAAATTTGGATCACAGAGAATAGTTCAGTTTTTGCTTCATTTATTTCCTGTCTTTTTAGTGCATGCATGTCTCGTTGAAATGTCATATTGTAAAAGTAGGGTCTGTCATATATTCACATTTGTTTGAGGAAAATGAGAAATCCGTGGATTATTGAGGCTGGAAGATGTATTCCGCAAAGAGTACGAAGTTTTCGTCGTGTTGAACTAGTTTTACTTATTCTGTTAAATTTCATTAAAAAATTAAAAGATAAACATAAACAAATAAATAATGAAATTAAAAACTACTCGTGCAGTCTTCGAAATCTTAATTTTAATATTTTCAATTTTCGTTTTTAATATTTTTTCTTCAAAATCTTAATAAAATTCTGTGAATTTAATTAAATTTTCAACCATGTTCTGAAAATTCTTCCACTAGTTTTCGTTGTGCATATATCTGTCACTGCAGTGATTTCGCTGTTTGATTAGTAATGATAACGAAGTCCTTTATTCGCTCACCAGTCCATATTGCTATTTTCTTCATTGGAGAAAAATATATTTTTATAAAATTAACTCCAATCAGAAATTTTCAACTGTGCAAGGAATTTAACAAAAATGAATGGTTGATGAAGAAATTTTTAATTTGTTTAGTTGTAATTACATGGAAGAAAATGAATTCTTCAAATAATCTTTCAGAAATTTTGCCAGGAATGGAGGAACACAATGGAATTAATTTTAAAACAAAAAACGATTTTTAGAAAGCATTTTATGGATAAAAACACATTGTAATGTAATGTTTTTACTTTTGTTTATCTTAAAATTGAAAATTTCCAAAAATTTCAGTAAAGAAAAATGTAACTTTCTTTATAAAGGACTGGTTTGAAATGTAGTTCAGAAGTTACTGCAGGCGAAACGTTATATCGGTCGGCAGGCGACCTTGATGTCTTAGAAGGAAATGTCAGAGGAGATGGTGCCACCCCATTGAGATCTGTTCTAAATTATCTACGTACACATAGATACACACACAACATGCACATACAGACGCACACACAAACACGTACACACACACACACACACACACACACACACACACACACACACACACACACACACACACACACACACACACACACCACA